TCTTATTCAATCAGCCATAACGATGAGTGCTTTCTTCCCTCTTTACTTTGCATCTTGCTTCTGAGTTAATATATTGTGGAGTAGATTGAGAAATATATATTGCTTGGTATGCAAATTGCAATGGATGACTATAATATAGGTCTTCCATCATCGCAACATATTTATAGAGCTGAATTTGAATATGGTGATGGTGCTGAGTTTGAAGATGGTGGAAAGGATTGGTGTACAGATGATGATGGGGCTGACTTTGGAGATGATATATTCGATGGTGATGTTTTGGATGAGGACAAAATGAATGAAATTATAAATGAAGATACTGATGAGGGTAAGATTGAATTGGCACATTGAATAGAGTTTGGTGATGTTTATAAATTTTGAGATGCATTGAAGGAGTGGTCTATTTCTCGTGGGTTTGAATACACATGTGTGAAAAATGAAAGAAGCAGAGTAAGAGCAATTTGTAAAGTTTCCAAAGAGTGTCCATTCTTAGTACATGCATCAGTGGTTGGTGGAGAGAACACTTTTCAAATTAAAACATGGAAACCCATCCACACATGTACTAGAAACCCATCCACACATGTACCAGACAAGCTACAAATAGCCTTATTACTTCCAAGTACTTATCAACAAAATTATTAGAGGATTTCAAATCCAACCCGAAGGAATAAATGAGTGGATCGAAAAATAGAGTAAGTAAAAATGATGGATATGATGTAGTAATTCAGCGGCTATACCGAGCAAGGAAGAAAGCAAAGAAGACTACTTTTGGGGATCATGCTCGGCAATTTGAAGTTAGTCGTGCATATTGAGAAATTATTCTAAGTACTAATCCGGGAAGCTTTGTTAAGCTACATATTGAACCACAACCTCCAGTAATAATTGATGGGTTTGTGAAAGAATTGCTCCCTAGATTTCAAAGATTGTTTGTGAGTTTTCATGCAATAATTGCCGGTTACACAGCAGGTCGTATGCCAATAATTGGCCTTGATGGTTGTTTTTTGAAGACACATTTTGGAGGGCATCTTCTAAGTGTTGTAGCACATGATGGAAATAATGGCCTGTTCCCAATTGCTATAGCTGTCGTTGAAGCTGAAAATAAGGACAATTGGAGTTGGTTTTTGGCTTCACTTTTGGATGCATTATATGGCATTGATCCTACGAACTTAGTCTTTATGTCAGATATGCAAAAAGTTAGTTGATTATAACTTGTAATGTCTTTAGTTGCTTTTGCTTGTTGTTTTAGTTTTTTTATTACTATTTTTGCTATCTTTAGTTGTTTATTTTTTTCCAGTTTTTATTGACTATGTTAGATGCTATTTTTTTTCACTATTTTAGTTGCTATTTTTTTATATTGTTTTTGCTGTGTTCAGTTTCTTTTTTTATTGATTTAGTTTATATTTTTTTACGATTTTAGTTGCTATTTTTGTTGTTTATTTTAACTATTTTTACTGTCTTTAGTTGATATCGTTTTTATTGTTTTTGCTGTCTTTAGTTGTATTTTTTTTTCACTATTTTAGTGGCTATTTTTTTACTACTTTTTCTATTTTAGTTGCTTTTTTTAAATATTTTTTACTGTTTTTTATTTTTTACAGGGACTACTTTAATCATTTGCTGATCTTCTTCTTCACACTGAACATAGGTATTGTCTAAACCACTTACTTGACAACTATAAGAAGTAGTTCAAGGGAAAATTATACACAGACCTATTATGGAAAGCTGCATATGCAACAACTGAAAATGGTTTTGAGACTGCTATGAAGAAACTGCAGAATGTTGATGGTGGGAAAGCGTATGATTATTTAAAGCGTCTAAACCCAAACAAATGGTCTCGGTCTCATTTTAGTTTCAAGGCAAAAAGTGATTTATTGGTTAACAGCATTAGTGAATCTTTCAATTCACGCATTATACAAGCAAGGGAATTGCCTATAATTTCAATGATTGATTGGATACGGAAGAAGCTAATGAAAAGTTTGTATGATAGAAAGACTAATATGGAGCAATACATTGGTCAAATTACACCAAAATTCCAAGAAAGGCTTGAAAAAATAAAAACAATGTCAAGAGATTGTGTTGTTAGTCCTTCTTCACAAAATATAGTTGAAGTTACATGTCGTGGGAAGTCATTCTCTACAGATATTGAAAATAAATGTTGCAACTATAGAGTTTAGGGGTTAACAGGAATACCTTGCATCAATGGTATTGCAGCAATTAGATATTGGAGAAGAGTGCCTGAAGACTTTGTTGATATTTGCTTCTCAACAGAAACATATATGAAGGTATATTCAACTCCTATTAAACTGATTCCAGACCTTCATGATTATCTTGTCAAGAGTGAATCAACTGTTGTTGCACCTGTTATAAAAAAGCCACCTGGTAGACCTAAGATTTTGAGGCGAAGGCAAGCTGATGAGCCTCAAAACCCATACAAGAACACAAGAATAAACAAACCTATCAGATGTGGAAATTGTCGTCCTGAGGGACATAATGCACGAAATTATAAGGCATCTGTCATTGGAGAAACACCAAGCCAAAGGATGGCTCGAATTCAAAATGAGCAATCACAACAAATATCTCAACCTTCTACGAAGAGGCAAAAGGTAATGACTTTTTCCTATTTTATTTCATTTTGTTATTTATGTGTTCTTAATTGAATGGTTTCTTGTATTGATAGATGGCTACAAGAGGAGGAAAACATATCGATGCCCCCTTAGCACCCAATGAAGGTTCATTGATTTGAAGCTTGTTGTTGCTGTCCAGTTTTTTTTTATAGATTAATATGCTTGAAAGGAGATTTTTTGAAGTTTGTTGTTGCTGACCAGATTTGTTGGAAACCCACTTTTTTGCATAAGAAAGGAGATTTTGGGCTATGAAGAAACCATAAGCATGGCATCATATATATATTTTTTGGGCTATTTTTATTTATTTTTTATTTTTAGTACTTGAAACTTGTTTGTTGAAGTCAAGTTTTATGTGGAAGCTTTTTGAGATTTACTTCTTTTTGTTAAAGTCATATCGGGAAAGAATGGAAATGAAATTATATGATTATGGACCCTGTATATGTTAGGTTCATTTTTTTATTTGCTTTCGTTGTTCATTTGGTGTCATTAGTAACAAAAATAGCTTGCTAATGGTACTTTTGAAGAGCTCAATATCAAGTAATTAAACGTGTTGACGAATAGATTCATAAAAAATATTGACAACACAAAAATAGCTTGCTTTCGTTTATCATCAATATCAGCTTTGTAGATGATAAAAAAAGTAATTAAAATAGATTGACAAATAGAAGCGTAATTGACGACAAACAAAATCAACATGTTGTTTGTTTTTTAATTAAATGGTAGTTTTGGTATCTTATAAAAAAATTAACACTATTAATTATAATTTTGGATGGAAGATCAAGTTATGAGGTAAATGATAAAAAAAATTATATAGAGGGATAAATGATTAAAAAATTTGAGGAGAGAGGTAAGTGATTCCGAAGAAGCTTATAGGGAGATTTTTTTATTTTTTCCAAAATTATAATCATACTCAAATATGTTTCGAAAATACTATTCTTCTGTCGTAGAAGAATGAATAATATTTTCTACTGAGAGATTAAAAATTGAATTCTTTTTCTTTTTCTTTTTCTTTTTTTGTTTTAAAAAATAATGGGGCCACTGATATTTGTACGTGTAGAAAAACTAACTTATCATCTATCACATAAGAAAACTAAACCCCCATATATTTACAATGTGAAGTGTTGTCGGGAAAACTATGCTAAAAAAAAAATCTTTGGAAAATGTGGTTCAAGTGAAGGTAGAAAATGTGGGGTCTATCCTTTTTCTTTTTAGGAAATTAAGTTGTGGTGTCGGCAAGGGCTTTTGACCTTATCTTCCCGAAGTGTGGGTCGCTTCATTGAATGCTAGGACCCAAAACTACGTCTACACCGATCACTTGGTTGCTATTTGTTTTGACACGTGTCAATGCTTTATCAACTTTGAGTCTGACGAGGATTTTCATTGTTCTTAATTTGCTTCCTTGTGGTATTTTCTTCTTACACTTTTGAACTAATGACCCGAATTATTGACCCCATAATTCAGTATCTCAACTGTATCAATAATCAGATCGGGTTCGGAATGGACATTGAAGTTAATCCATGTAGGTATCGGTCCAGATACAGAAAGGAATACACCTCGTTAGAAATTAGGTCAACCGTCAGGTCCAAATCCAAGTAGATGTGCAAGCACAATCGATATTCTGCGAAATTTAATGGTAATTGGACTAATTTCAAAAGTGACGCTAATCAATTAATGAATAATTTGATCTTACAAATCACTGTACATTCCACGAAATCCGGTTGTAATTTGGCCAACTTCCAAAAATGGCCAGATCATCGTTTCCCACGAGCACAATTTTTTAAGAGACAAATCATCTTCTACTACGCGAACGTCATGTTAAAAATAAATAAATAAATAAAATTTGAACGACAAAGTACAACATTATCACAGTATTACGATTATAATATAAAGAGTAAAGTCGTTTTGAGTTGCTAACAAAAAAATTAGATCTCTACTTTTCTTATAAATTTTTTTTTAATGGTTTTACAATAAAGGTAGATAACTTATCTATATTTGCTCTCAAAATGACTTTATTTTAGGTTAAAAAATTAAAAATCATAATGAAAACATATTATTATAACTTGAAATAAATTATAATTACAAAAATACCTTAATTTTCGTCTCAAAATAATATTGTTTTGGGCTTACTGTAGATAAGTTATCTAAATTGATCGTAGAAAAGCGAACCATAAAAAAATTTATATTAATCTTTTTTTAAGGACTAAATTAGATCTTTATTAAATTTTAAAGAATTGCATTTTTAAAGAAAGAGGGATGAAAATTAACTATCTTTTTTTTTTTATAAGCAACAAAAGTGGAATCATGTGTTTTTGTTAGAACCGAAAGGGCTTTACTCTAATATAAACCCCACATATAATTGGGACCAAAACTAAAACCATATATTGGGGTTACTAGCTTCGAGTTTAGGCTTCTTGGATCTCAATTTTCCATGCAATCGGTTCAGATGGATAAGCCACATGTAGCTCTAATTTCCAGCCCCGGTTTTGGTCATTTAATCTCAGTGATTGAACTCGCTAATCGCCTTGTCACCCAACACAACTTGAAAGCCACTGTTCTTGCCATCACTTGCCAAACATCAGAACCACAAACTCAGGTTCTGAATTCAACGATGAACCCCAATCTATGTGACATCATAGAGATCCCTGGAGCAAAAATCTCTTACCTTTTTGACCCTGACACCACCGTTCCAACACTGAGACATCTTAACACCATGATGCACGAAACCAAACCCGCTATTTTGTGTGCGCTTTCTAACATGAAGCCATGCCCTTCTACGATCATCTACGACCTTTTTTCGGTTAGTGCTTGTTTGTCCATAGCACAAGAGTTGAATATGCAAAAGTTTGTTTACGTGGCTTCACATGCTTGGTTTTTATCATTGGTTGCATATTCTCTTGTGTTGGACAAAGAAGCGGAAGGACAATTCACGGACCAGAAAGAACCGATTAAAATCCCGGGTTGCAAACCGGTTCGACCGGAAGACGTTATTGATTCCATTGTGGACCGGAACAGCGAGCAATACCAAACGTATTTAAGTATGGTGAGTGGGATCGTTGAAGGTGATGCTTTTTTGGTCAACACTTGGGAGAATCTTCAACACAAAGAGCTTCAAGCACTTAGGGATCAGATTCTAAAAGTTCCTGTGTATGGAATCGGGCCAGTTGTGAGGGAGGCCGAGTCAGCACCGAGTGAGTTGACCGAGTGGCTTGACATGCAACCGAGCGAGTCAGTGATTTATGTGTCGTTTGGAAGCGTAGGGGCGCTGTCGTACGAGGAGGTAACAGAGGTGGCTTGGGGTTTGGAAATGAGTGGTTATAGATTTGTTTGGGTGGTGCGTTTACCTTCTTTAACAACTTCAATCGAAACTTTCTTTGGAAAAGGTAAAGATGATGATGATGGTGACCCTTTGAGCTACTTGCCAGAAGGGTTCTTATTGAGGAACCAAAAAATGGGTCTGTTGGTTACAGAATGGGCTCCACAAGTTGCAATATTGAAACATTCTTCTGTTGGGGGGTTCATGTCGCACTGTGGTTGGAGTTCGACACTTGAGAGCATTACAAACGGTGTTCCAATGATTGCATGGCCTCTCTACGCGGAGCAGTGGATGAACGCCACGTTGTTGGAGGAGGAGCTGGGTGTGGCGGTGAGATTGGAAAGGAAGAAGGTGGTGGAGAGAGAGGAGATAGCGAGGAAGGTGAGAGAGATAATGGAGGTGGATAGAGAGGGGAAGCCGAACCCTATTAGGGAAAGAGTGAAAGAGTTGAAACGCAGTGCAATGAAAGCTGTTTCCGTGAATGGGTCGTCGTACACTGCCTTGTCCGAAGTGGCGAAACGATGCAAAGGGAGGATGTGAAACTCATCAAGTTTGGTCGTTTAGGTTCTAATTAGAGGCACATTAATTTCAAATGGATCCATTTCCCATTCCAAATAAATCCCCTATTGTACTAAGATAAAATGTTGCTTTTTTCTTTCTTTCTCTTTTTGGTACAATAAAATGTTGCTTTTAAATTACTCTCTCTTAGTTTGGACTTATTTTAATGGAGGATATTCGTCCAAATGCAAATTCTGTCATAAGATACCAAATAATTAGAGTAGCTAGCGCTTAAAAGGTGTACATTAAAGTTATTATGTTCTTTTACTCTCTTTTTATAGAGAAATAATTTTTTATTTATTTCTAGATTAGGAATAATATTTTTTGATAAAAAATATTATATTTTTATTTCCCATAAAAGAGGACGTGTATTTAATGAATAACATGTATTTAATCTTGATAACACATTCTGCATTATGTGGATCGATGTGCATATTTAATAAATAGCATGTTACGAAAAAAAAAGCAAATAAATAATTATTTCTTATTCTTCCCATTTGTTTATGTGCTAAAGTTTCATTATCTAGAATAAAAATATATATGTTCTTTACCAAATATTCTTTATAATAATTTTTGTTCTAGACTAAAAATAATTTTTTTTAAATCCTTATCACACTACAAGAAAAGCGCTGTTTAACCACAATATTTTAACCACATTCAATTAAATGTGGCATAAGTTTATAAAATATTCAATTTTACTACATGCTAACAAAAATGTCGCAAAATAAGGCCCAACCCATCTCTTTCTACTTTTCATAATTTCACAGTAATAGAAGGCCCGACCCAATCTAGTATTTCTCAAATTTTGCAGTCACTCATTTTTTCTTTTTTCTCATATCTCTAGCACTGACACCAAACACCATGAGAAAGAGGAGAACCGCCGGCGAGGATGTGGATACCGGAGCTCAAGTGGCTCCGATCGTAAAGCTCAATAAGGTTCTTGTATCCATCGGCAGAGAACGGAGATTCAATTTTCGATTTTTGCACATTCTCTCTCTCAACTTCTTCTTTTTTGAGATAAATCTCTAGGGTTTTTGCTTGATTTGTCTTTTTTTTAGTTGAATGATGTGGATCCGGCAAGGTCAAGATCGGAATCAACGGTAACTTATCTCCTTCGTTCGATCTCGCTTCTCTTGCTTCAGATCTGCTCATATTTTTTTTTTACTATTTGATTTATTTTTGTTTTTTATGTTACTGTGCTGTTGGTGTTTCTTTTTAAGTGGGTTTGCTTCAGATCTTGCTCTCTCTTTTTCTCTCTTTTTGTAATTTTTTGATTTTATAAATTGTTTTGAAAACGATGAATGGATCGTTGTTGAAGATATACTCTTTAATGTCATAGATATTTCAGCCTTAGATGCATGTTATTGTTTTGGTTCCTGTTATTGCAGATCACTCATATGTTTTGAAGTTATATATATATATATATATATATATATATATATATATATATATATATTGAAATTTTTGAACTAATACAAAATGTGATCAGCGCTTTTATGGTGCCGTCCTTTAAGAATTTTTTTTTAAACAAGCTTGTATGTAATACCAAATAATTTATCTGTTTTGATCAAATGGAGTGTCATATTGAAGCAGGGATAAACTTTTTTATTTTATTTTTATATGTGATGAAATAATTTCAATAACTCTTCTTTGTCCTTTTTTTCTACCTTTGTGATATCTTACTATCTAGGCTAAATTATATGTTATGATGTTTTAGCTCTAACAGAATCTTTCTTTGAGAGTAATAAAGACTAGTCAAAATGGTGAGTAATTCTTAATGAATTTTTGGTTATTTATTTACTTTGTTTGAATATTCATAATCTGAACTGAGATTCCGTGTCTACATCTGCAGGTGAAGTTCACTGTTGAAGAGCTGCTTCGCATTATGAACTTTCTTGTTTTTATTGGGAGCTCTTTTTCTGTTAGGGGGGATCACATACACTATTTATATTATCAAGAGGGTTATGGTTGATTTTTCCTTACCTAATATAGCAAAGGAATGCATGTTGTTCACTTGAGGGCTCAAAGTTCATACCTCTGAAATTTTTTCAAATCATGATGTTTCTTACTGTTAGATATCATGATATTTATTTCAAATTAGTAGTATATGATTGAAATTATATTAACCTAAAACGAATTGTTGCTTGACAAGATGCACCTTTATGGCAGGTTGGTGGTATGGCGTTGTAGGCCACTTGGAGTCATGCGATGGGAATGAAAATTATTGCCTCTGTCATAGTAGTGGTGAGTTAATATCATTTTCCTTTAGGATGCTTGTTATTATCATTTATTACTTTTTCTTGGTTATAGATTTTATCATTCATTTAATCCATGTTCTTTTCCTCCCTTTTCGAAGAACCGAATTTATTCTGGGTATGATTGTCTAGTGGATTAGTATAAGGATATAACTTTGGGATTTGTTGAAAAAATGGATGTGGTATTCGGATGAATTCTGTTTCCATAGATACAATTGAATATATTGCATAAAGATACCAAAATGATGGCCAATGAAAGACTAATTAGAAATTTTGAAGGCTGAGAAATTCAGTGAAGGTTAAAGTTTGTTGTTTTATTGATAATATTTTAAAGTTTTATAATCAACCATATTTTTATTATTATTTTGTATTGTGGAGTTTATAAAGTGAAAAAATTGACATTTACTTTGATAGACCAGACCAGACCACAAGTTTGGCTAGGTCAGAGCGTCCTCTTCTCACGTTCTCTGCACTTTGAAGCTTTTTTTTGCTTGCTCTGTTTGGGTTGGTATTGCTATCAACTATTATTTTGCTTCCATCTACACTTGCTAGTGAATTAGTATATTTTTGTGTTTCCCTCTAATTTATTATTATTTTTTGGGAAAAATTAAGAGGCTTTTTTTGTCAATTATAAAAATGTGTCTCAATCCCATGATTTATTTATGCTTCTTTATAGTTTCCATAAAATCAAAGAGAAAGAAAGCGGCCGTCAACTTGGTTTGATTTTGGCAGGTTAGTTCTCACAAATCCCTTGTGTTATTGTTTGGTGATCAAAACTAGTTATCGTTAGAAAAATTCTCAATTAATTTCAATTTAAATAAGAAGTAAAATAATAAAATATTCACAAGCTAAGAAGCAGCTCTGTAGTGTAATGCTTTTTATCATTTCAAGCTAAGAACTCACAAATTTAATGCTCAAAATTCAAAAAAGTAGTATTTTTGGAGGGTGGCGTTTTGGTGATGCTCTTTCTACCAAATTATAAGCCTTTTTGGATCACAAACTCAAACTCTATCCCTCAAATATTTTATTTAAATTTTTTATGGATTAAATAAAGCAAATGAAACCTCTCCTTATTTTAGGTTAAACATGATATACTTTTTGAGGACCGTAATCATTAAGCAAATATCCAATTCTCTCTTCCTAAACAAATTGTCCGTCAGTCTTCAATTTATCTGAACTTACAGAATTTTTGTATTTTTTTTATGGAATCTGCTGGTTTTTTATGTCCTATAATTTGGTAATTTTAAATCCTCGTGTTCGGTAAGTTGTCTTATCCAAAACTGAAATTGTTATATTCTTCTCAAAACTATGTTTGATTTTTGTCTTATTTTCAAGCTAAAGTTTAATATTTCTGTGCAGGTGTGATGGGGTAGATAATGCATCAAAACATCAAAGGATTGGAAGGCATACAAGAACAAGTTTAGGAAGCATGATATGGAAAAATTGTATTGTAGGAACTATGAAAATATTTTGCTTTTAGTTACATGAAAAATGATATTTTGTATAGACATTCCTTGGCAATCTTCTTTAAGAGTTTATTTCTCAATTATTTCCCTTATCCAATATTACTGGAAAACTTGATTAGCTCATGGATTGAAAACTTGATGTATTGTATAAAAACATATATATACAAAATTGAATATAAGGTTTGGAGTTTGATTCATATCTCATCGTGTTCATTATTTTTTGCTTGAGTTATTTTTGATATTTTTTTTTATTATTGTAAAATTAATTGAATTTAAAATATTTTTAATTTAATAAAAGAATTTTATATATTTAATCACATTTATGCATGTGGCTAAGAAAAGTTTTCAGACATAATTAGCCACATTTTATTTTATTGTGGCAAACTATACAAATTAACCACATTTATAAAGTGGTTAAATTAACAATAAGTGTGGCTAAAGAAAGGCTACCACACTCAATTAAAATGTGGTTAAGTGAATAAAAAAATGTGGTTAAATTATTGCAACACCACTTTTAAGCACATTCAATCAAAATGTGGTTAAAGTCTGTTAGCCACATTTTTTATCAATGTTTGCCACATTTCTAAATGTGGCTAAATAACATTTTTTTTGTAGTGTCAAGCACACCCTTAACTAAAAAGGAATCACGCGTTATTTTTATGTTTTAGCTTTAAGTTTAAATTTTAAAATTAATTGTGTATTATTTTATATTTTTAAATATTTTTTATCAACAAACTATCATCTAACAAAATTAGCCCGGTCCATTCTAGCTCAAAAAGGAAGTCATTTATGGTGGACCGAATCTTGGTGTGCCTTAACCAAAAAAGGAAGAAAAAAAATGAGTAAGAGGTAATTTAAAAAAAAAATAGGGATATAAATATATATAAAAAATCTTTATTAAAAAAGGAGCATAAAAAGAAATGTGCATCGGATCATAATAATAAAATCCCTGAAAAAGGTCTTTGATTCGGGCCGGATCGAATTGACAGCTGTGGTTGCATTTTATATTTGAATTCTATAAGCTATTGGCTTAAAAACATCCATATAAATTTAACATATAATTCGATCTCTGTATAATAATAAATTTTGTACATGCATCACTTGCATTTATCCAATAGAAAATCGACACATAGATCAAATAAATTAAAGGACAGGAGCAATGAAGATGTGCATATTGATGAATAATACAATATATCAATCAAATGAGTGTAACTTCAGAACGTCAGAGCTTGTGCGCGAGTTGATGGCTAACCCTAGTGGTTTATTTATTTATTTATTTCCGATTTTAATTGACTATACTAACGTTAGCATCTTTTCACCAATGTGTTTAGTTGATGGCTAATCACTATCTCACAAGTTGCAACTTATCCGAGTTTATTTATTTCCACTATTAATTGACTGTACCAATGTTTGCATCTTTTTCACCAATGTGTTTA